GCTCATGCACAACTGTGAAAATGTGTTGGCGTGGATAATATGCTTTCATTAAAAGAGTTAACAGTTGCAGTTAGATGTGTATACATGCTAAAGCAAAAAACAAAAGCCCAGTGGATAATTAAAACAAAGAGATTAGGAACCAAGTTCTGCCCTCAATTACACTTGAGTAACCTGATTATTTTATCTCTGTTAAGTCTGTGGACTTATACTTGGGTATAAAAACTGTTAAAAGCATTCATTAAGTCCATATCTAAACTAGATTTCTAATGATGCATTCATCAGTTTAGAAAGAGGGAGCACTAATTTCTTTTTTCTTTTCCCTAATGGAGGATGTTTATGCAGTTACTTAGCCACAAAGACCATTTTTGCCTATATTGGGCCTTCAGAAAACCAACCTTTTCCAGAGATGTAGTAAATATTTACAGCTGTCATGGCAACATTATGGGTTTCCTTAATATTTTGTTGCCTTTTTACTATACATGTGATTAGGATCCCTACAGACCAGTTTTGGCAATGTGTTTTTTATGTTATAAACATAAAGTTAGGCAAAGTAGTAGGAGCTATTAGTAGGGTTGAAGCATTGTAGGTGTGATGGTACAGGAAATATATGAGAAGTAAGACTGGAAGAAGGGTGCTTTGTCCCCAAAAGCTTGTAACACTTTAACAATATAAAGTTGATCCAAATAAAGATATCACCAAAAAAGTGCTTCTAACAGGTGCAAGAGATTTTTCTCCTCTATCTCTTCCTCCATACATTTCTGATGCTAGAAATATTACTATACTAGAAATCTGGTATAGAAATGCATGTAATTCCTTCCCACGTGGAGTACTTGCCAAAACATAACCCGAGAAGACATGCTTTGTGCGCTTTGTGGCTTCAGCTATGAAAATGTACTATTTTTTGTTAGAGGATAATGGCAGGTGGGATATTGTTCCTCAAGTAAGAGCTGACAAAAGGCTAGACAAAGGAATCCCATTCTATAATTTAGAGCTAGCTGATGTATTTTTTTTTTCAACAAGGCAAACAAATAAATCAAACACCCCTAATTTAAAGTTTCTCTCTTCTACAGATGGTTTCTAAAACTGTGGTTGTTACATGACTAAGCAGTTCATCATTTAGATGCAAGGCCTGCACTGCATGTTTGTTCTTGCCATACAACCAACTCCCTGCAGGCAGGGAGCATACCAGTCTCTCTCACTCTGCCTTTCACACAAAGCCAGAGTGTTTTCATTTATAACAATTCAGAATAAAAACTTAATAGTGCATATGTGTGGGAAAAGCAGGCTGCACAAGCCCCATCCACACCCCATGTCAAAGCTCCAGAGGCCTCTGAGCTGTTGGAGATATTGCCCAGTCCAACATAGAACGTGAAATCTTCCATAAGATCCTCTTGAAGCAAAGTCAGGCTCCTAGGAAACATAGTGCTAGCAATAACAGTGGTAGAGAAGAGCAGGCAATGCAGACCCACCTATTTCCAGAACTGTTGCTGGTAGTTCATGACCTCAGGGGAAGGCAGTTCTGAAAAGATTTTGGCTTTCAAGAGTGAGAACCACAGGGTTTTCTTTATATGTGATCTTTATTCCTGGAAAAAAAATGCAAAAAAACTGAAAATGGAACAGCGGCTTAAACTGGAGGAAAATAGGCAACAGCTGGGGAAAGGAAGGAATTTAATTGCAATCAGCTGAGAGGAGACAAAAAAAGTTTTGGCCCCAATCCTGTCTCTAGCTGTGCTTGGCTCAGCTTTAGCACGTGAGTGAGAGGGTGAGGGAAATGGCTGAATGGGTGAGTGCAAAGGGGCTTGGAGTTGGACAGCTGTGCAGATTCATGTGATTTCAGGGCCCAAAAGGCATTTATGGTGGCTGGAGTTAAATGCTGTGGCCACATGAGACAGTTGCAATACCCAGGTTCACACTACAGAGACTTTATCTGTAGCACAAATGTAGAGTGCGATACAGTGGCATGCTCAAACCACCACTTTGCTTCCCTCCATCCTGGAAAGCATGCTGCCATGTTTGTGTGGTGCTGCAGGTGGACTGATCAGTCTTGGTTTCCAGGCTGAGCTGCATCTGAGTCAGGAGATGGCATACAAGGAGCAGTGTGGTACACTCCTCTGTTGAAGTCCAGATACACCCTTAGATTTCATTGTGGTAGGGAGATGCCATAGCTGCCTGGCTAGAGCAGTTTTATGGTTACTGGGTGCATCTATACATGCAGTTAGGGCGATACAATACTCTGGCACAAACTACACCAGAGTTTAAGCTGCTCCCGGGCTCAACATTTACATATACACCCAGGACTGCAGCATGTTGAGCTGGGGCAGAGCAGTCCCAGGCTGACAGGAGCCCCAGGGGCAGCCCTGGGCTCTGGGTAGTGATGGAGGGCAGTGGAGGGGCTGCTGGGGCATGAGGGTGCTACAGTGCTTCCACACTGTAACACCTTTATGCCTCAGGCAGCCCCTGTCACAGTCTACACATATTTGAGTGCATATAATTACTCCACCGTAGGATAGTCCTGTCGCTGACAGGACTATCCTACAGCAGAAGTAATGAATTTACTTTGCCCTAATATGGGCACATGTGTAGACTTGGATGCTTTACAACATAGTTAATTAGCCAACTGCAATAAAGTGCATGTGTAGATGCACCCCATTGTGTAGCAGCAAAAAGGGAGCTGAAAGGAGGGCTAATAGCTGGTCTTACTATCCATACACAGGTTTTGCATCTTGTATATATGTTGCTGAATGATAAGATGCATGCATGAGAAAGCGGAGTATACAGCACATATTTTATCATGTCCCTATCCCCATTTCCCTCCTTCCATGTGTTGCCTCACTTGTCTAATCATGTCTGCTTTGGTAGTAAGATATAAACCCTAAGTCAAAAAACCCTCTGGTGTATACCTATAGCAGGTAATAAGGGCTCTGGTGGGGTTGATCCTGATTTAAGAGTTTGGGTGCCACTGTCATAACAATGATTTTACTAATTTTTCAGTATGAATTTTCTTAAGTTATTTGCCTTTAGGTAATACTTTTACTGAAGAATTTGCACCATATTTTAGTTTACTTAGTTATCTTCATGGTTGTTTGGGTTATGATAATTTTACAGCATCCATACTGTATGTAGGTAAGTTAGAAGTTAGCTTTTAAAATGTATCCTACATATGGTGATGCAGAAAGAGATGATGTCTTGATCAAAAATGGATAAAGTCCTGGTCAAAACTGAAATTGGGCATTTACATTCTACAGCACTTACATGTGGAGTTGGGTCAAGGTACAAGGGTCAGGTAGGTTCATTGTATCACAAGCAAGGGACATGTCGATCAAGGGAAGCTAAGGTGTTTCAGTGAGTAGTAAGTACCCGTTGATCTAAATTTTAAGATGAAAATTCTAAATATAATATTTCAATTAGCTTACAGTTACACTGAGCCTTCACACATCACAGTAAAACAAAAAGCAAAACAAAAAAAAAGGAAAATGAAATTCTGAAACGTTTTTTCAAAATCAAAAACTCATTCCCAAGTCTGAAAACAAATTACAGTAAAAGCTTTGTTATCCGGCATGAGTGGGGTAAGGTGGGTGCCGTTTATCTAAAAATTCCAGTTATCTGAGAGTTATACAGAAGACAGTGCCATACATGTACTGCAAATACTTGATGCGCATGCCAAATATACTCCACAAAGATTCCTGTTGCTAAAGTGAGGATTTGTATTAGGGGATATTGGAATTTCTGGTTAATAGAGTATTCCAGTTAGTAAAATGCCTGTTAACATAGCTTTTACTGTACAAAACTTCCTGCAAAACAAATTCTGAGTCCTCTCCAGATCTGCTAGAGACACATAGCCATAGCCAAAAATATGATGTAACTGGATCTTAAGTACTGTGGGACAAATACTCAGCCCTTAAGCATTCAAATCACTCCTAACTTTGGTGAACCTAAGGCGCACAGAATTTGGCTGCAGATTCATACAGTACTGGTTTCTGAACTGGTGTTCTATAATTGATCTTTTATCTAGTATTGGTTATCACCATGCTAAGAGACCAAAGAGTAAACAATGAGCAAAAGGGAAAATTCTGTCTAGGAGGTGATCTCTGCATGCAGATCTTGGGGTTGTGATCTGTCCATAACTGTTTGTATCTGAGGTTTGGTATTGCTGAATGTTGTCAAATATTTATATACATATGTCAGGCCAGTAATTCTTATCTAGATAGCTTTTTGAGAACAGAAAATGAAGTTACCTTCTAAGAAGGGCTGCCTCCTCTTTGGTATCTATGCGCAGTACACATTGGTACTACAGGGTGAAGTTACACATTACACTTAGAGTCTTAGACCATACTAAGGGCACATAAAATGTGCCCGTATGCAGGTTGAACCTTGTTAACTTGTTAAAATGGGCAATTTTCAGTCCTCCAACATCCCAGGATACACTGCTCCCAGCCCCTTCCTCCCACCCTTCCTTTTCCCTGAGCAAGAATAGAGCCCAGGTGTCCTGGCTCCTAGACAGGCCCCTCCCTGCCAGTCCTCTACTAGGAAGTCAGAGCTGTGCAGGCAGGAAACAATATTAACCCTTAATGTGCACCTGCTCATAGCATTTTCTAACTTTAACCTTGCTTAACATTCCACAGATTTAGTATGATCTAAGTTTAACATGTAACTTCACCTTCAGCTGTTGAAGTAATACCTGTTATAAAGGCTGTTCTTCCAATGACTTAAAGAGCTCATTTTTCTGTCTCAATACTTGATACATAAACTGCATAGAAGCCTTGGATAAAGTTTTGGTCACAGTCAGTACAAGAGAAAAAGAAATTACATTCTTTTAAACACTGTAAATTTTGTGTTGCTCTTCCAAGTAAGAGTATTATAAACCAGCAAGAGGTTTCTCATGTCCTCTCCTTGAAAGTGCCCTCTTGTTTCTTATTTGTTTGAATTAAAGTCACTTGTTAGGCCAACAAAAATACTGCAAGGGGATTTGTCTTGCTAACATGTTTTCCTTTGGATTTCAGCCTGGGCAAGAGGTGCTATTGGAACAATCCTTACTGGCTATATCATTTTCGTCATCTGCTTTGCCCTTGCCATCATTGCATTTGCTGTCTCTTTACTTCGGTTCAACTTTATCCGAGGAATTGGAGGCTTGCTCTTTGTTTCTGGTAAGAATCTTCAGGAAGCAAGTGTTGCTTTTTAAAATAGTACCTGTAATAAAACCAGAACCTTGCTTGCCTTGGCCCTGGCCCTTGCTTGATTCTTCTACAACGAATCCATACCGATTTCTACTTTGTACTTGGAAACCTCGATTAAAAACATAGACAGTCCATTGAATACAGGCACTAGCCAAAATCCTCACATCTCTAAAGCAAAGTTGTGTTATAGATAATAAAAAGGAAGAAAAGATGTCAGTTTAGTCACTCATTTCTTGTTTTTCTCTTTTCCAGCTCTGTTCCTGATTATGGGCTTAGTCATTTACCCGGTGAATTACACAGAAACCATTAATATCATAGAAGTTGGTGCATTTGGCTGGTCCTATGGCTTTATGTGGACCGTTGCTATTATGGCAATAGGTCTGGCATTCTTCTTCTGCTGCCTCCCCAACTATGAAGACCAGATCCTGGGAAATGTCAAGCCTGATTATTGCTGTGGTACCCCGTAAACACTAGGAACAGAAGCAGCTGACATTTGCATTCCAAAGATACTTACAGACTACCCTAGTTTTCAAAAGTATTATCATCAGGTATGAGTAGAAAGGTTTGGCAAGTTTGATTTGTTTTCACATGAAAGTAGAGAAAGAAATGCGAGTTTTAGAATGGAAGATTTAAATGATTCTGTATTTTCACATCCAATTTTTTTAGGACTTATTAGTCTGCATACTCAATATGCTTATACTTAATTACTCCATGAATTCTCACATCAAGA